ATTTTAAGAATTTACCATCACTCGGAGAACTGAAAGATACGACATCGAAGTTTTTAAAATACTTATATATGTTTCCATGTTAACAACAAAGATTTTTCCAGCTGTCAAGAGAACTGGACGTTGAGCTTTCATAATAATAAAAATAATATCTTTGGATATATTTTTTGGCATATCATACCAAGTGCAAAGATACATCGAATTACCGACGCTTTCAGTTTGAGTCTTCAAATATTCACCCACGTAACTATATGCGAATAGTTGTATCAAGAGTACGCACATTATTATAAGTATTTTTATCATCAAGACAATATTTCCAATGCTCAAAGCGAGAATAAATTGAAATCCTAGAAATAGAATCGGTCATTGTTATAGCAAACTTAAATAATATTACACTGTCATTTCACGAAATGAAATAAAAATATAAATATTCACCAGTTGTACATATAAGAATACAACTTGAAAAAAGTTGTATAACCAGAATAGAACTAATTGTCTCATTCAGCATCTTACTCAGATTTAACAAATAAATATGCCTTTTGATTAATAAAATAAAATGTTCCGTTATTTTTTCGTTTTTGTAGAATAATTTACTATATTCTCGTTTCAAAATCTCCACTTGACCGCACAAATGAAAAACAATACCGAAAAACACTGAATCGCTACCTAATAGATAAAGAAAAAAAAAAAACATTTTAATACACAATATTTGATATAATGAATCATTACCTAGATTCCCAATACTCGTGAATAGTAGCATCATGTATTCTACGATGAAAATCACGAAATACAAATTATCCGGCACATTTATAATTGCCAATGCATTTTTAGATGGAATAGGATATTTTATACTTTCTTCCGTTACATTAATCATTTCTATTTCGTCCCCAGCAAGCATAGGCACAGTTATGAAAAGCGTGGAGCATGTATACGAAAAAGATATTAAACTGGCGCATGCAACTCTACCCATGTAAGCGTGCTGACGCATAATCACTCGATTTTCTTCATCGTTTGATTCGTTGTAATCCTTAACCGCAGAAGAAAAATTGGAGACAAGTCCTGTGGAACGTACACGAAAACTCATCACTTTTGCCACTGCCAAAATGCCGCAATTAATAATTAGAAGAGCATCTAGATTATTTTCCGCGTTGCTTCTGTCCAAATATAATTCCACTTGCACGATTGCTATCATAAGCAACTGCAATAAAACGATTCTTAAACGATATTAATCATAATTTGAGAGGATACGACGATACTAAAACTTCGTACCAAAAGTGAAATTGAAAATATGGTACGTATGAGTGAAAATGTATCGTACACTTGAAAAGGCCAAGTTCCTAGGGGCCATGAAAGGAATTTCAACGGAGTCATAGCGTAAGTGAAGTCTTTGTTCGATGTTGTCTTCATTTTTTTAGAAATTGTCACGATGTAAGAAATTGTCAATCGATCATACTCAGTTGCATGCTTGAATCCAATGTATCCTTTTCCTCTCTTTTCTTTTTGCACATAGCGATGCGTTGTATTTTTTGAATCATCTTTTATTCAGCTGTAATCACTTAACTATCTACCGTTCAAGACGATTCTATTTCTATATCAACTGTCACTAAGAAAATTCCAACTGAAGTTATTACTTTTGTAGATACTTTATTGCTATACTTTGATATGAATAATAGAAACCCATAAGCATTTGCTTCGAAAATCGGTCTGAGTTTCTAAAGGCTTATTCAAAAAAATATTTACAAGTTGTTAAGTTAAGAATATGATAAAATGGAAACATAAAGAACTGTTTTCTCGTAACTAAAAAGATCCTATTTCTTAAAAGAAAAGAAAAAACTTAGACAGTATTAAAATGTAAGTATTAAAATGTGTATATATAAGAATATAAAAATTATAAAAAAAATAACTAATAAGTATGGAAATATTTCACGAATCTTTTTTGTTATTAGAATTTGTCTTAATACACTAAAACTTTCGAATAAAATGCTTTTAAATTTCTTCTTTCACAAATTTTGATAAAATTTTACATCTTCATGTACATTTTTAATTTTATATACTTATCTATGACATACTTATTATTTTTATACTCATCGTTTAAAATTTTCATTTTCACAATATTATACTTTTTGATATATTTTTTTTATTCTAGAAATACTTACTTTTGTTATTCATTTCTTATCTGCATTTTTATTTTATTTATGAATATTTTTTTTACAATTTTTTTAATTTTAAAAATTTCAAAAGTATTTAGAAAAATTCTTTCGTTATACTAATCACTTTTTTAAATAAATATAATTCGTTGAAAAATCATTTTAATTTTTTTCTAAGATTAGAAATGCGTGTATAATATATGTAAGTACGTTCAATTTAATACAAAATAGTAATAAGATTACATCACGATTATAATTAATTAAATCACATTTTATGTTAACATATGTATGTACATACATATAATATATATATAATTTAAATATTTTCGCGCATTCAAAGCAAATGTGATTATAATTTTCATTAAAAATTTATCATTAATAAATACATATTAAATCAAATATATTGAATATTAAATATTTATATTTACAAAAGATTATAGAGTATCGTTATATATTTGATATTTGAATAATTTAATCATTTTTAATCATTTTCAACTAATTATAAGAAAAATATGCTAGTTGTTATATATGATTTTTGTACCGCATGGTGGCACTGTGATCTGTTGATCTGCATTATTGTTTGTTGTATTAGCTAATGTAGCCATGTTAAACAACATCACAGTGCCATCTGTTATTTATTTCGAAAATTATTATTTATTATAAACTACAGAAACGATATCTGTTGTACATTTTTGACAATAAAAATGATTAGAATTTGAGTATTTGACATTAATAGATAACGAAATATGTAATATTTAATATTTTATTGTGCTTTATCATACTGATATAAATTTTTAGATTCTTTCACATTCTTAAAATATTTACTTCAATATAAAAATTTTAAGAATTTACCATCACTCGGAGAACTGAAAGATACGACATCGAAGTTTTTAAAATACTCATATACGTTTCCATGTTGACAACAAAGAATTTCCCAGCCATCAAGAAAACAGGATGTTGAGCTC